CTGGTAAGCGAAAAGAAAAATCTGATTCTTGGCAGGAGTTATTCTTGAAGAAATGAGTCTAGGCATCAAAAAGGCTCTCCATACATCCTGAATCTCCTTGCTCTTGACAGCTTCTGAGAGAGCCATGGTGAACCAGGAAGGTCCATGAGCCCTCGAAGCAAAAGGCGCCATGCTCTCTTCGAACTTGTGCCTTTTGGAGAATATCATGATGTACTTCGAGAATAGGACTTTGAAGTCATCTTTATCGTCATTTGGATTTAATCTTCGCAGCCTAGTGCCTTCGACTATTCTATCAGTTATCTCAGGGTCTTGTTCATCAATGGTGTTGGCAGTTGACAAGGAGGGTTCGAACATGGCATTTAGCCATAGCTGAAGTAACCAAAAAGGGCCAGCCAACATGATATATTTGGAGGTATGAGATTTTAGGCTCGAAACAACTGACCTTAGGCTTTCATAAAGGTCAACTAAGAGCAGTTCACTTAAGCACACTCTTCGATTTTCATGCAAATCCCTAGCTAGAGGAATAAACCTACTGGCTACCTATAGGGATCTACTGCAGAAGACGTATCTTGGCAGCCATAGGGTTAGGAAAGCAATGTGTTCTACATCAGACACACTGTCTCCCTCAGCATGGTAGTGACTGATAAACTTGGAAAAACTTGCTAGCTTGACTTTGAAGTCGATTATACTTGAATGTTCTTTGTTGTCAGGTATATATGTTTCTCCTACTGGCGATAGCCCAGTGATGGCCGCTATGTCGAAGAAGGTAGGGGTGATCATTCCACCAGGGAGATGGAAAGTATTATAGGTATTGTCCCAGAAATAGAGGGACGCGAATAACAAAGGGTGGCTGTAAGTGAAACCAGGCTTCAACAGCTTAATCAGGTTGTAGATACCTAATTCTTCCCATTGCTGGGATTTCTTAGCTTCTACCTTCTTGAACCAGTTTTGATAAGCAATATCGGAGGTGGGGCAAGATCGAAACGGTTTAAAATTACTTTTTACATAGTCTAATACAAAAGGGTCCTTAGGAGGAACAGTTGGATTTTCTATGGTGTTTAAGCCAGAAGATTCTATTGCCTTAGGGGCGTCCATTTTGTTAAACAAGGGTTTGAAATTATAGCAAACTGGGAAAATTGTCCTGGTATCTTTTAAAATTTCAAAAACCGTAAGAGGGCCCATTAAAGCTAACCTCTTACCAGCAACGGTGGTAGGAATAAGTACCTGTGATGCATAAAGCATTTCTTTTTCCTTTGAGATCATCTGAGGAGCAAGAACGGATTGACCTTGGTGAGTAATAACCTTACTTTCCATTGAAGTTCCTGCGGTCTTTCCTTTCTTCTTGGAAACCTTTTTAAGTTGGGATGAAGTAGAAGAAGACATTTTTGAAGGATGTTGAAAGCTTAGGGTTTTTTGGCGAGAGAAGAAGGATAAAAGATTCAGAATGTGGAAAGAAAAGAAAAAGACTAAGTTGATGATGTTTTATAATGTGGAAGTTTAAGAATCCACTGAATAAAGGTGTGATACGTGGAAATCATGGGTTGGTTTGATGAAGAGGTGGCGTAAAGTTAACATGGGAAATAGGCGTGATTAAAGATAATCATTGTTTGTAACTGTACCATACTGTGAAGTGGCTCCAGGCGGTTAAGGAATCCAAAAAGTGCTATGATTGACGTGACTGGAGTCAAATGCATTAAATGTTACGATGATTCGAAGGTCGCATCAAAATCTTGTGTAGATGTTTAAAATAGGTATTTCTCAGAGAGATCGAAATACATATTTTAAAGGGGCATTTTGTTGGCTGAAGATTTTGATAATATTATTAAAATCCAAGTAAGTTGAACGTTTCGATCGAAATGAAACAAAGCGTCATGTTTCGAAGTAGCAGAAGCAGTGTTTCGAATAAGCATATCAAAGCTTGGAGCTTCGAGTGGCAATTGTGGGAACATATCTAAAGAAGTCTCGAAATGACAACAAGGCTGTGTCTGAGAAGTGCGTTCGAAGCAGAGAAATACCAAAACATTTGAAATTCAAATGGAAGCGGGACATTCGAAGTTTGAAATTTATGTGCTGGAGCATTTGGAGACACGTGGAAACAAGAGAGAGGCATTGTTCTGCGTGTTCTGAACGTGGCATGATCTTATAGCAAGACCGTTATGGTCGAAGTAGTATAAATAGAAGTCTTAGTATTAGGATTTCGTGTGTCATATCTATTGTACTAAATACTCAGTAAACATTCAAATTACCACATGGCTAGGGAAACGAATGCAAGAGCAATGTACGTATGATAGCACCACATGTTTATGATTTAATGAAAACCTTTTATCATTTCCAGCACTTTCCTTTATCTTTCTGCCAAATACCATTTACAAGTTTTCTCATTTAAAGTCTTTTTATTTCGAAATCTTTTCATTGAAGCCTTACATTTTAATGCTTTCTTTACATTTCAAACACTTTACATTTCAGAAAACTGTCATACTTTTCATGCCTTTATCTTCAAGTTTTATCCTTCGAACGCCTATTTTTACTTAAAGTCATTTTACAGATTTCTTGCATTAAACACTTTCTTCATATTTCGAATCTTTTACATTCTAGAGCATCTTTTACATTAACTGTTTTTATAATTCGAAGCCATTTACTTGCCTTTTATGCCATTTTACATGTCTTTACAATTAACATTTATTCATGCAAGTTAGTTTCACGCACATACATTTTGATTACACCTTTAGATCTGTAAGGGAGAAATTGAAATAAGTCAAACACCTACACAACACTCAAATACCAACCATGAATATATGTTCGATCATGAGAGTTACCCTAATGACCAAGGAATCCTAGGATCAATCTAGTCAATCCTGTGAGTTACCAGAGAAATTGAATAACAGTCAGTAAGTTTATTCGATAGTTTGGAAGACTAGCGGTTGTTTACCAGAAATCACTGGAAACACATAGTCCGACAAGTCTGGATCCAATCACAACCTCATGGAACCAAGCATCCGTAGGTATAAACAATTCAAATATTTTTCGCGAGTGACTCACGACCTTAATTGGCAACCATTCCTGAAACAAAAAAAAATAACTGTTAAATTTTTATTTTTGAGTAAACCTTTAAAATGAAAAAGTGCAACAAAAAATATACCTCTCCATTCCAAACATGTCGAACGACATGATCATTATAGTAGATCAAGAGGGAGGTGTCATAAGGCCCTCTTGGATAACCCTAGTTCGCCTCCTCGGGTACCTCAACATGCTCAGGTACCTCATCATCCTCGAATACCTCATTGGGAACCTGCTCATGCGTACAAGAGATATACGCTTAAGACAGACGACTCCTCGGTGCAGAAGAAGAAGAAGCTCCAGAAAATTCCTCCCTTCATACCCGACCCCGTCCTCGAGACCTGTTAACCCACTGCTCAGCTCTTTCTTACCGAGCAGAGGCAGTCTGACTTGGCCTGCCTTATCTTAAATGATTGGTCGGGTCCTAGTTGTCAACCATCTTCTTGAAAAGTTAATTATAATTGCTAATATCAAGGTTTAAAAAAACAACTCAGGCAAGAATTCACATGTGCACTTCCGAAACTGGTCCAGGGAAATTTCGGATGTGCACATTCGAAACCACCTGCGAATAACCATTTTTAAGAAGCAGCTTCTTCTTGCCCTAAATCATTCAAATACCTTTTTTTGTCATCCAAACACCAACATTTAACTATTCTAACAACAATCTACACAATGTCATTTCTTCTAACTAACCTAATACACTATTATAACATTGCATAGTGAATCAAATGAAAACAAAGGAAACTTACACAAACTTGGAGTCTTAGAGATGAGTTAGAATGACTTGAAAAGAGTTGAAATGGGGAGATAAGTGGAAATGACTAAGTTGTTCAATTTTGGATAGTAGAAATATAGGGTTTGGAATAGAAATATAAACTTTTTGTGTTTGAATAGAAATGAGTTTTTGTTCGTGGTTTTGAAAACAACAGGGTAACTTTGGATGTGCATTTATGAAATTATAAATTCTAGGGTGAATTCAGATATGTACATATGAAATCATCCTTTTTTGACAAAATAAAATGCCTTTGAATATACATATCCGATATCAAAGGGTATTTTGAAATTTTCGCTGGAGGTTTAGAAAAAGTGCACTAGATATTAAAAGAAATTCTTTCCATTTACATTATAGGATGTCAAGATTAATATTTCAATTAAAAAAAACAAATATAAAAAAATTTATACTATTTTAAAAATAATTTAATAAAATCTATTTAAAAAAATAAAAATAAAAAAAATTCATTTTTTAAACCTCAATCCAAAATTTATCAAATATATAAATTTTTCATATATTTAAGACCTAAAAGAAAGCATAAGATGCGATAAGATTCCATGTCATTAAAGTGTAGAAGCATTCAACACATTTGTAAAAGTTTTTTTGTTTTGTTTTGAAAGTAAGACATTTGTAAACGTTGAAGTAACTTATTACTACTATATATAAAATAGTACTACTAAATTTGAATGGAATAAAACTCGTTGCTGTACGCTAATTATTAAACTCCAATCAACCTTCCGTGCAACAGCTACTAATCGAATGGACCAGGTGAGGTATAAAGATAACGACAACGATTGTATTTATCTTCAAATATAATCATACAACGACACTCCACATGATTAAAATAGTAAAAAAAAAAAAATTTAAAATACCCCCTTCAATTCAGCACATAATAGATCAAAAAATTAAAACCAAGGATATGTTTGACTTTTCTCATGTGAATCCCAATATATAGTCACTAAGAAAAATGTGAATTGAAGTAATCGAACAAATAAACGGAGTTTTCTGGTAGCGTGAGTTCAAACATCTTGATAGCGTGAGCTTAATTCCATACGACACCGTTTCGTCGTGGTTCTGAACTAGAATACAAACAGTGAAAACCGAAATTGCATGTATATAAGCTTTCTTTTGTTTCATCCTCAAATTTTCTAGTGTTTGAAGAAAATCGAAAATGTGGGGATTTGGTGGTAGATACTATTGGGGAAGAAAGGTGGATTTTGAGAAAGCGAATGGGATAGTTGTGGTGTTCGCTTGGATGTCAAGTGAGGAGAAGCAGTTGATGAGATATGTGGATCTTTATGCTTCTTTTGGATGGAATTCAATTATCTGCCACTCTAAATTTCTCAATATGTGAGTTTGTTCTTTATTTTGATATTGATATTGATCTTGATCTTTGTTGTTGTAAATAATAAGAGTTTGATTTTAGGTTGATGGTGCTCTCACAACAACTACCAATTCGATAATATATTAGTAGTATAGTGTTTTACAAACTATTGCATAGATGAGTAGTTTTGTTAATTTGTTTTTCAATTGTAATAGTAGATGAATGTGACTTCTTTTTTAGTTCATTTTTGATAAATTAGGGAAGGGTAAAATTGTTATTAATTGAACTGAAACTAATGACACCTCTAGAAGAAAAGTTTCTCAGTGTTGGTGTCAAAAACCTACGTTGACATTTGGTTTATTCATTTTTTTCAAATTATTAGTAGTGTCAGTCCCGAGTGCCGTGTTTCTGGTGTCTGTGTTTTATTAATGACTATTTTACTACTCTCTTGTATAGAAATTGGATTCTCTCCCGTGATGTTATAAGATTCAATCTTCACCACTAAGGTGACACCTGCTTAGTAAGAAAACTCAAAACTCTATATGAATGGACAATCAATCTAAGCCACTATACATAGTGTAGTTTTGTTGTTTTGGCTATGTATGGGATTGTGGACTAGATAACAAGAATTGCAAGAGGGTGCGTGGTAGTTTGGTACACAAAATGTCGTGGACTTAGAAACAACTCAAAATCAAAATACGAATCATGGACTTACCACTATCACTACTAATGTTTTATTCCTAATCATGGGTGCTAAATGGATATTTTATGCGAAATTTTTTTGAAGCAAAAGAGAATCGGTGAATGTCATTACTCATATGTCTATTAGTATCTGACATTGTGGTTTACTGGCACAATTGACGATTGAAGCCTGATCATAATTTTATGCATAAAAAAAGTGGCAGGGGATGGGGTGCTTACAGGTTGTTCTTTTTATGTTTGCTGAAAGAACTATCACGTATTAGCTTAATGAGGTATGATTAATAGTGGACCAGTAGTTGTACCCTGCCTTCTAGGATTTTGAAGTAGACCATACTACTTGTGTGCTTGCTGAAATTGCCACTGGAGGCATTTTCTGTTAGCGATCTCAACTCGAAGTCCATGTTTAACTATTTGGTAAAATGGCTTGCAGATGTTAGCAATCTCACACTAGCCTTAGCTAATTCTAACCTTAAAACATGGCTGGCTTATTTACTTAACCTAGACTGTTTTAAAAGGCTTGATCTGATCTTTTCAAAAGCCTACTTTGCAGTAAGACCTTGCCCATCTCCAAATAAGGCACGTGGCCAATGTCTTTATGTCTTCAGAACAATGTTGATAATATTATCATACTATGCACATTAATTCAAATAAGGCGCGGCCTATCAATCTTGAAACACATTTTACAAAATTTAAAGCATAACATTTTTAGCTAAATTTGCCTTTTAGAAATCCTTGGCCAAGCTTATTTAGTAAATAAGCAGAGGCAAGCCAGGAATAGTACAATTATACAAGTTAGTCATAGGACACAACAAGCCGCCTGGCTATCCATCCCTATGGGTCATGATTATAACATTTATATTATTTGCAGGTTCTTCCCTGATAAAGCCACAATTCTTGCTGTTGATATTTTAAATGAACTCGTTGAGGTATGTTTTACACTAGTACGTCCATTTTGTTGTTTAGTCAGCAATGAATTCGAGTTAGCTAAACAAATTATTTTTCTCGCACACTTAAGTGTCTATGACCTTTTTTTAAGATTTTACACAAAATGATTTTGCATAAGATAAGAAGCATATATGTGGCGTCTACTATTGTTTTGTCACATTGATTAGAACATTTCTCTAATAGTCTGAAATGAAGTATTAGAGTATAACTAGTACAGCTAGGCTAAGTTATTATATATTAACTGGTCACTTTTGTACATAATAGTGTGTTGAGTCAGCACATTTACTTATTTCAGTTACAAGTCAGTTTGGGCAGTTTGTCGTGCACAACTACTATATAACTTTAGAATTCTTCATAATGCTCCTCTCTTAAATTATCTCACTCTTCTACAGTTTCCTTGGTATCTTAAACTCTATTATGAATAATCTGACTACTAAAATTAATCTGCTGTTGAATTTGTAACCCATATGAACAGGCTTACAATTACTTCTGTTTATTTCATATGCAGGTGCTGAAAATTAGGCCGTGTCCCATTGTCTTCGCATCTTTTTCTGGTGGTGCAAAATCTTGTATGTTAAAGGTTCTACAGGTATTTTGTTGCAGACTATGGACTTTTTTTTGTGTGTTTGTTTACATTTTTATCATTGTTTTCCTTTGTAAGAGTTCGTAAATCTATAAGCTGATTGCATTGTTTTCCTTTGATCCAGATAATTAGTGGGAAGTCTGAAACACATAATATGGTATGTTTTCTCTCACCAGCAGTTTATTTAGAGGATTATTGAGTTAACATAGATTGCATAGTTTGTAAACTCATCAACATCTAAAGTTTAAAACATAGCTCTTGACTTTTCTCAAATCATGCTAAAGTTTAAAAAATAGCTCTTGACTTTTCTCAAATCATGTGTATGTGCGGAATGATGTATATAGTGTCAAACCCCTAGCTTGCCATCCGTGCTCCATAATTTTATTGATCATTATTTCCCTTTATCAAATATTTTGCTCAAGTTCTTGCAACATGAACTTATGTGTACTGGGCGGTGATATTTTGTCCTTGTATCTTTTGTGTTCACAAAATAACAAATACTGTTCAAGTTTTATCTTTTATTATATTCTTCACCGCGTCTTAACTTTCTTAACTGTACAGGATGATTACCAGCTTGTTAGAGACTCTATTTCTGGCTATATTTATGATTCCAGTCCAGTTGATTTTACCAGTGATATAGGCGTCCGGTTTATTCTACACCCATCTGTTTTAAAAGTGTCCCATCCACCAAGATTTGCTTCATGGATTGCCAATGGCATAGCATCTGGTCTTGATTCCCTTTTCCTCAACAGATTTGAATCCCACCGTGCAGAGTATTGGCGAACACTTTACTCCACCACTGTAAGCAGCTAAGAACACACAATTACATGAGTTCTAAATATAATCAACGGATTACCTCCATTTTTTTTCTTAGGTATCGTGTGACATCTCCTTATTAGTTTTTTTTTTTTTTTTTGGTTTCAGAGTATGCAGGTCCCATATCTCATTTTTTGTTCAGAAAATGATGATCTTGCTCCTTTTGAAGTCGTTTCAAATTTTTTCCATCGACTAAAAGACCTTGGCGGAGATGTCAAGATGGTAAAGTGGAGTTCCTCTCCTCATGTAGGTCAGTATCTTGACTAGTTATGCATAATAGCTCATGGATGAGATTATAAGATACAGCTGATACCTAGTGGCTCTTGCTGTAACTTTGTACTTTTAGATTAACATCATATATTATAGCTGCATTCATGATCTGCAAACTTGCATATTATTATGAATGAATTTAATTTTCATTGCATGCATGTCAGGTCATTTTCGTTATCATTCTGATGAATACAAAGCTGCTATCGACGAGATCCTTGGCAAGGCAGTCGCAATTTATAATCACAAGAACAGAAGAATTGAAGACGAGAATCTGGGCATAGAGGGAATAAGAAACGAGATCGCCGATCCGTTCTCCGAACTGAGGAAAGCAGCAACAACCTCAACTAGTTTCCAGGGTTTTGTTGTTGCTCCAAGTGAGAATTTGTCTCCTGGTTCACTGGAGTATTACGACGGTAAAGATGTTGGGTCCGTATCAGATGAGCGAAAAGGAAGTTTTATTCATCTCCCAAGCCGCCCAAGCATCAATGCTAATGGGGTTCTTGGCCAAATATTGTTTGACGTATGTGTCCCCAAGACAGTTGAGGATTGGGATGTCAGATCGAATTTGAAAAATGCGGGACTATTATCCGGTACTAGGAGACACATTCCTTTCAATCCTATAAAATGCATCCGACGGTCAAGGTTGTAACATTGATGTATATTATTGACCTACAAGTTTTGGGTGGATTTGAGAGTTGACTGTTTCTTCAAAAGAATTTTAGTAAGATCTTATCGTTCCGGAAATGTAATGTCGCAGTATCTGAAATAAGCGGCAGAACGACTTGTAAATTCCCTCTCAGCTGTCTTTTTAATTATTGAGTAATGTGATTGAGAAGCTGGCCTTTTCCTGCGTGAATTGTAAAGATACTTCAACTGAGAATAATATATTTTATGTTTTGATTGAAATTTGTTTGATAAGAATAATGAGGAGTTGTAAATTTAAATTAAGTTGACAAGTCTGTTTAATAAGTAGTCTTAACCTTTGCTTGAGAGTTCACCATCAACCTGATTCAGAATATAATGGTTATTTGGTATGTTGAAAAACAAATGGAATTCTATTCATTCTTGTAGAATATTTAGTACACATAATGAAGGGGTTGGAGACTTGGAGTTATCTCTATTTCTCAAATGTAATGGTAAGTACCATTTAAAAAGAAATAGACACAAAAATTAGGTAGTGAATCCCATCATTATTAATATTGCGAATTTTATAAGATAAAGTAGAACAAATTACTATGGCAGTAAAAAACTAAAAATTGTTAAAGGAGATAAAGATTTAAATTAGAACAAGTCTAGAATTTATGTGTAGAACAAACTAACACTCAATTTTAAGAAGGGAGAAATAAAGAGAGTAGAACCTCATACACTAATACACTTTATTGAGTTCATTTCAAATTGACCTACGTCTTTTTAGATAACATTCTAAGTTATTAGAGGGTAACTTTCTAATCATTTCAAGTCTCATGCTAGTTAGATATAAAGTCTTTAATAAGTTTACATAGAGGGATTTATATCTTTCGATTTTACAAGTCTATTTTATAAGAATTATGATTCATTCATTGTTTATATACAAACACCAATGTTAAAAGAGCGTTGGAAGTGAGAGAGAATATATTAAAAAAATTTCTAATAAATTTATATAAAGTAACATATTTTATCTTATAAATCGATTTTATAAAAATGAATTATATTTAACTCTAATAGCAAAATATACAAAAGAGCTATAAGAAATATTTTAAAGTTATTTTTGAGAGTATGAAAGAGAATAGGAGGGAAGAATTTGAAAAAATGAAAAAATTAAATGGATAGAAAATAGAAGGATTTAGAAGAGAAGAATTTTAGAGGATTTGTTTTTATTTATAATATAAAATTAGAGAATTTTAGAAGATTTGTTTTTATTTATAATATAAAAATTTTCTAGTTTTAAAAAATTTAAAATTTGTATTGAATAAAAGTTTTGAAAATTTTACATAAAATTTTCAAATACATTTTATATTGTTACAGTGTTTAGAAAATTACAAATATTATAATAATAATAAATATTCATTTATTATTCTTTATAAAATTATTCTTTAAAAAAATATTAAATATTATTTTTTATATTTAATTTAAGACGAATCAAACTTTTTTTTAATATTTTTTCACCTAAGATATACTTCAGTTTGAATGTCAATTCTGACATTAATTCAATTACAATTGATTTCGGGAATCAAACGTAATTCTTTCTACTAAATATGTGTCAATTATTATTGAACTAACTGACAATTATTTTTTTTTATTTTTTTTTCTCTCAAGAATACAATCATTTTTTTAATGATTCCAAACATATTAAAGTGTTTACCGCTCCCGACATAAAAATTTTAGCATTTTCTCTTTTATGTTTTTTTTTTCCCAACAATCTTACTTTTATAATTAAAAATGATTCAAATTACTGAAAACTGATTGAAATCACGTTAGACAGAACACCACAAAAATTAATTTGGTGCTATAATTTGAATCAGCGTTAAAAAAAATCATTAAAATGATTCTAATAATCACTTCCAAAAGTTTAGAAAACAAATATTTGTAGGTATAATTTATCACAATTCTCCGTCTTGACCTCAAATATCAGTGGTGATGCTCGATATTTTACTAATCAATTATTTTGTTGTTTTTATTAATGTGAAAATAACATCACAAGAAAAGAAAAAAAGAATATTTGATATTACTTTGGAAGAATGTACAGAGGTGTTTTTTTATAGGGTTAATAATAAAGAGAAAATTTAGATATAATTCGGGTGTGATTTTTATTATTTCTTGATAAAAATATAATAAAGATATAATTTTTTCTTACACATATACAATTTTAATTTATTTTCACTCCTTAAATTATATTTAAATAAATTTGTCATATTTTCATTGAAAAATAATAAAAACCGCACTCATAGAATTGTATCTCGATTTTCTTCTAATAATAACGAACTTTCCTAAATAGTAGAAAACTAAGTATCTAATCTACAAAAAATAAAGGGCATATAATAATAATAATAATAATAATAATAATAATAATAATAATAATAATAATAATAATAATGATAATAATAATAATAAATAATAATAATAATAATAATAATAATAATAATAATAATAATAATAATAATAATAATAATAATAATAATAATAATAATAATAATAATAATATATTCATATCTAAGACACCCCACAATCTAAACTATGGAGGTTGATGAGGCCAAACTTGAAAACGTGTGTTGCAAAAGCTGGCTAGTAGAGTTGTTTGGTGAGGAAATCAGTAATTTGAAGTCTGGTGTGTATAGAAAAGTGTTTGATGATGCTGACTTCAATCTTTTCACGACTGACGTGGCAGACAATCTCTATGTGCTTTGATCTTTCATGAAAGAAAGGATTGTGTGCGAGGTAGATGGCGGGGTTGTTATCACAGTAAATGGAAGTAGGTTTGTTGAAAGAGTGATTCAAATCCTTGAATAAATTATGTAGCCATTGGATCTCTCACGCTAAGCTTGTCAAAATCCTGTATTCTGCTTCAGAGCTGCTTCGAGAGACAATGTGTTACTTTTTATATTTCCAAGATATAAGAGAAGCTCCCAAGAAAGCCACATATCCTGTGATTGATTTGTGAGAAACAGGGCAAATTGACCAATCTGAATCTGCAAAGCCCGATAAAATCAAGTTACAATTAGTGGAATAAAATAAACCTAATGCAAGAGTAGTTTTTAAGTATTGTACAACATGGATAACAACTTTGAAGTGAACAAATTTTGGTTTAGAAACATGTTGGCTAAGTTGTTAAAAGACAAAGGAGATGTATGATCTAGTTGTGGTTAAATAAAGGAGTTTGCTGATAAGTCTTCTATATTGAGTTTCATCCTCGTAAAGAGGAGAATTTGTACAATTGAGCTTAAGGGAAGGTGTTAGAATATAGTTTGGTTCTACATTCTTATAAGAGTTTTGATGATGACAAACACATGTTATATAAAGAATAAACATGCTCTCTAATAAAGTATTTTAATATGCAGAGAAACTCTGATGAAAGAAGCATAAAAGATGAGAGAGTTACACTTCTGAAGCTCTATTATGGCACATCATACTTAGAAGCAAATTTGTGTAACACGCTTAAGAAGAAGAAGTTCTAAAGCTACAACTTCTGATTGCACCAACGCTGCGAGCCAAACTCTGATATTATGATAAATTAAAGTTCTGGAAGAACAAAAAGAAATCTCAAACGATAACATTCATCTTCTGATATGGTTCAAAGAAAGCAATATTCTGAAGCGTTAATAAATCATTCATTACAAATCAAAAAGTAACGGCTGAACCATGACAAGATCTCTATTTTTGAAAAGAACATTAACTATACATTATCAACCTTCCAAAAGCATCTTCTCATGTCTCTCATGCATCGCCTATATAAAGAATACTCGAAGAAGAGATCAAGCTACACACTATTGCACACTGAAAGAGAAAAATCATCACTATCCCAATCTATATTGTGCTTTTCAATTATGTATAAATCACTGTTGTGATATAGTTTTGTTTAGAAAACATTTTTGTACACACCTTCAATTGTTGTATCTTGTAATCCCTTGAGAAAAATAAGTTGTGGTTTAAACTCAAGAAGACATTGACAGTAGTCATTGTATCTCTGTAATCAAGTTTTGATTAGTGAATTAAGACCTCGTTTGAGAGAGACGAAATCACCTTGGCGGGTGGACTGGAGTAGTTTGAGTTCAAACGAACCAGGATAACCAACATGTATATTGCTTTATTTTTGAAAACCCCAATTCAAATCCCTCTTCTTGTGTTTTTCCATTCTTCAATTGGCATCAGAGCGTCTGGTTCTGGATGCAAACACTTAATTGTGTCAGAAAAAGATCCTAGCAAGAAAAACACTATGATGGAAACAATTCAGAATAATAATGATGATAAAGACAAAATCAGCAGTAGACCCCAAATGTTTGAAGGTGAAAAATTTGATTACTGGAAATACATAATCAAAAGTTTCTTTCTAGCTTATGATGATGATATCTCTGGGATATGGTGACTGATGGCTACATTTATCCTAGTGATGAAAACGGTCAGAAGATTGTTAGAAATAAAATGTCAGATCAACAAAAGAAAGAATTCAGAAACCATCACAAATCCAAAACAATCTTATTGAGCGCTATCTCATATACTGAGTATGAGAAGATCACAAATAGATATTCTGCTAAATACATGTTTGACTCTCCGAGAATGACGCATGAAGGTAACACACAAGTCAAATAGATGAAAGCTCTTGCACACATCCAGAAGTACGAAGCTTTCAAAATGGAAGGAAAAAAAGAAACTATCGAGACAAATTCTCAAGGTTTCAAACTCTAGTTGTTGGATTGAAAGTTCTGGACAAAGGGTACTCCACAACATATCATGTAAATAAAATCATCAGAAGCTTATCCAAGAAATGGAGATCTATTGTCACAGCCTTAAAGCTTACCAAAGATCTGAATAATATATCTCTTGAAGAATTTATCAGCTCTTTGAAAAGTCATGAGATAGAACTAGAAGAAGATGAGCCCCAGAAGCAAGGTAAGTCTATCGCTCTTAAATCTAATAAATATGAACCTAAAACTTCTCAAGAAAAAGAAGAAAACT